GCGGGCGTAGTACCACCATTCTGAAATACAAAGAAATAACAACTGTTAGCGATATTGATACCCCTGGAGGGATCCCACCCACTACTAGTTCCCTAGTCTTATTTTACCCTTCCTTGGTTCGGGTACGGATCCTCTGCTTTCAATAGTACGGGCCCATACTACCTTCCACATCTATCCATACCTTCCCTAAGGACCGCCTTGACTCGACCAGGTCCCTCTCCCTACTGCTGATCACTGCTACTCATTATCCTAGGCTTACCCTAGGAAACCTCTAACTCCACCCAACCCAACCCTCAGCTGCTGAAGGCCTCTTGGTGATGCCAATTAACTATTACCTGAATACAATCACATGCACTGAGGCTCGGATAATCCTTCGAGTAAGGGACTCATCTCTACAATGATTAAGACTCAAACAAGAGCTACGCAATACAGTCAAATCCAACACTCTAAGATTATTCAACCCTGATCACATGTGACTTAAACGTATTCACCTAACAGTTAACTCCCATCACTTCAAGGCCCACATAGCACAAAGCAAACAACATTTGGACATAAGAAAACAATCTCAAGCAACTCTATCCTCGAAGAGAGAACTGAACTAGCATACAATGCTAAACTCGTGCTATCAGGAATAACCTAAACAGGCTACCCTACTGTTGTCTACTCAGCTCTAGCATGCAACTCTTTCATATACTGAAGCACATAAAGCAGGCACATAAGGCATCACTCCTAGACCCTTAATCCTATTCTAGCATGCTGTTCTACAGAAACTGATAAACATAAATAAACTTGTATGGGTATATTAGGGAATACTTACTTGAGCTTGGCCGGTTGCGCACATCACACACATTATTCTTTCTTAAAACCCTTTACTTAACCCTTTTAGAAAACATTTTCTTTTTCCAAAATCTTTTAATCCCTCAATTTGAGTTCAAACACCCCCGAAAGTGTGTCCGAAGGGCTCTGATACCAACTTGTAACGACCTAAATTTTCATGTCCAAAAGTTTTGTTTTAAAACATTACTTTAGAAAATGTTAATAAATAAAAACATTGTTTGACCAAACTACATCACAACATAGACCATGTTCAAAAGTCAAGTCATACAACCAATCGAAACATCAGAGTGTAAATCCCAGGGAAATATAGTAAATGCGGAAACCAATGTGTGTGCATGATGTGCCGCTACCGAGCCAACTCCTTCCCCTTCGATGAAGAGGTACCTGAAACCAAAACTGTAAACTGTAAGCATAAAGTTTAGTGAGTTCCCCCATCGTACCACGTATCATACAATACATATCATACATACTGCTAGGCTATTCTGGGGTGCCTGACTACCCAGTACGGCGATTCTGGGGTGCCAACTACTCGTGTCAAGCCATTCTGGGGTGCTGACCTACCCATGTCGAGCTATTCTGGGGTGCTGACTACCCTTCGATCCTAACAACCGAACCTCGGGGACTATTTCACCCCCTACTACTACCATCACATATATCATATCACAAACGTAATATCAGACATATCTAGGGTGTCTGACCACCCTTCGGTCCTAGCAACCGAACTCTATTACTATCACATACAACATATCATGCCAACATATAACATATCAGGTAGTAGCAAACCTAGATGATATCACAAAGACAATCATTTAACATACAAATCCTACTGGTGGGCCGGCATTGTGGCCTTAGACCTACCGCTACTGGAAGGCAACTCACCTCGGAGTAGCTGCTAATCTTCGTGGGAATAGTCTGACTGCTGCTGCTGCTGTTCCGGAAATCCTCTAGCTGTATTCCCACCAAACACTTAGTCAAAAACTGCTAACTGACCTTTGGGTAAAATGACCATTTTACCCCTGATCATGCCCTAAGTCAAAGTTAGAGTCAACTTCCAGTTGACCCGAATCGCCGAGTTGGCTCGCCAACTCGCCGAGTCCATGTCCAAACGACTGTCCTGAATTTTGTTTCTACTCGTCGAGTTAGGCGTCGACTCGACGAGTTCTCCTTCCAAACTGATGTTCAAGTCCTTCATCCTACTCGCCGAGTTGTATGAACAACTCACATAGTTCATCTTCATCCGATGAACAAGTTATACTGTGACTCGCCGAGTTGTAGGAACAACTCGCCGAGTCTGATCTTGATCTAAGGAGATTGCCTTGAACTCGCCGAGTCTGGGCATCGACTCGCCGAGTTCCACTATGGGTGAGTTTTAGCTTCCAACTCACCGAGTCCCTCCTGGATTCACCACACGACTCGATATAACAAAAAAGGGGACAAACCCGGAGACTCGCGACTAGACTCGCCGAGTCCGCTCCATGCAAGAGCTAAAAATGTGATTTTGCTCGAATCCAGTCCATGTCATTCATAGATCTGGGATCCTAGAGCATGAATAACACATAAAGTTTCCAACTTTACGTGTAAATATCCATATATGGGGTTTTTAGGGTTCAAAATGCACCAAAAGAGTAGATCTAAGGTTTATATGCAATATGGGCTCATAAAGGTAGTGGATCTGAGCTCCTGGAGCTCAACTATGCTTGGATCTAGAGACCAATCAACTTATTTCGAAATATGATGCACATACAAGCTTGGAAATGAGCCATGATGGACTTTAATGGGGCCATAAGCATGGAGACAAGGGGGAAAACGAGCCATACCTTAGATATCACTCTGAAATTGCTCACAAGTGCTTGACCTCTTCTTCTTCTTCTTGATCTCCTTCCCTACTCACTCCAATCTCCAAGAGGACACACCAAATGGCTTCAAATCCACAAAACAAGGCTTAGAATGAGGTATATGGCTCTTAGGGTGAATGGGGGCTGGCTTAGGGGCGGAAAGGGGGATTAAATAGGGTGCAAACCCCTGAAACTTAGGGTTTCATCCAACAGCGGTGACTCGCCGAGTCCAGGATATGGACTCGCCGAGTCGCCAACTTAAACGTGTCCCGGGTCCCGTCCCTACTCGGTGAGTCGGACCTATGACTTGCCGAGTCCAAGGCTTAAAAAGGAAAAATACTCAATTAAGATTTACATACCAGGAACCAGGTGCTACATTTTCCTTTTTAAGGGTCTAAAGAGTAATACCTGATTTCGAGTGTTACATAGGTAGTTCGTGTAGCTAATATTGCGAGACCTTGAGTGGTCGTGATTCATCTCTTTGATTCAAATAAGTCTTCTCACTATACTATGTAGGATACTAGATGTTATGGTATGCTTGTTATCTTTGTGACTCATGCTTGAATGTTTACATTCTTTGTTTGGTTGGAACCATTTACATGCTTCGTTGGGTTAGACCTATTTACATGGGTCGTTGGGTTTGACCCTAGGACTGAGCCCATTATTTTGTGTTGTATGTGGTGTTTTGGGGAACTCATTAAGCTTCGTGGTTACAGTTGTGTATTATATGTTTTTCAATTTGTGCTTCTAGCAATGGGAAGACTCCATCTTGACTGTGATGCATGCGCATCTCATATATATTATGTTATTTGGCTTTTGTAATTTTTGATACATTTTACTAGTTTATCATGATTCGAACTTTTGGTACTTAGGATTTCTACGAAACATGTGTTTGGAATGTTTGGTTTATATTTGAAAAATGAAAATTTTGGTTTGAAAAGCAGGAAGTTACACTTGTATATTACCTTCTCAAAGTGTAAACCTTTCTCAAGCTTTAGTGTTCCTTTCATTATGGAAAGACGAAGACGAATTTAAGATGATGTAATGTATTTGTGGTAATGAAGCTATCAACATTATCTCTTGGTTGGATCCTAATCCAGGCATAAGATTTTGGTCTTATGGGCATTACACTAGCAATTGTAAGTAGATCGGGTGGTTAGATTCACCCATGTGCATTAGAGCTTTAGAAGTCATAATGGTTTTACTATGCCCCATGAACAATTTGCAAGACTCCCTTCAATAATTTTGCATGGAATCAAGGAGGTTGAAGTTGTTATTGTTTTTTAGTTGGACATTTTTTTCTTTTGTATGTATACAAATCTTGATAAGAAGCAAAAAATTTGTAATTGATCATATTTTGTGTATAATGTTCATTGTAATCTAGCCTTGTTTTAATGTTCACATTTTGTGTACCATTTTGGTATTAATGTACGATTTGTAAGACCAGAGGGTGTGGGTGAGAAACTCCTCTCACTTTTTGTGGGCTACAAGATCATTTCCTCACTTTCCTTTCCTTCACCTAAACCTAAGGAATGGGTTGGAAACTTCCCTCATTATTTTTTTATTTTTTTATTTTAAATATACTACCTATAAATATTATACTTATTTTGTAGGAAATTAAAAACTATGAGTTTTGATATATTCTTTTTTTATAATTTTTAGTAGGTATATAATTTAATAAGTATTAAAAAAGATTAAAAAAAGTTTTCCAATAGGAATAAGAGAGATAGTGAGAAATGGGTCTCTCACCACTTTTGCCTTAGTCAAGGGATGATGTTCAGCTGAGAGGGAAAACTTCACTCTTTCCCTCACCCATACCGTCCAGACTAATGGTTAACCTTTGTTGTAGCGATGACCTCTTGTGAAACAAATTTGGTGCCAATTTGAAAGCAATGGTTTATATAGTTGCAATTTTGAATAATGTCATTTTATCGGCAGATTTAGATATACGTAATTGTAGTTGCTTGAATGATGATTATGGTTTCTTAAGTGAAGACTTATACAACCGGTAAGTGTGCAGGGAAATGACTGAAATGCCCTCACATGAGGAGCACACCTCAACCATTAACGACACAAAAGTAATGGTGTCCTTCATAAGTACCATTTTTGCAAGGTTTTCAAACTTAGGGACCATCTTTGCAAGATAATCTTATATGGACTAAATATGGTATGTTATGTCAAGCACGTCGACCATATGTAATTTGGTCTTTTTTATATTTGACTGCATGGTAAAAGAATAATAAAACGTTTGTACAAACAAAAAGGGTAACCGTTTGTGCATGCATTTTGTTTACACTCCCTCGAGAATGTTGGGTATTCGAAGTTCCAACAACAGCGATATATTCACTCACTTTTGTTTGGTCCACATTTTCCTTTAATTTCCATTTCGCCACATACTTCTCTACTGTTCATCTCGGTAGCCCATATCTGTTCATCTCCCCCTAGCCCATAATCACCCTGAGATCAACTATATATACATCGAGAGTATCGATCAAGGATTACTCCATACAATTAAGCAACCCCTTCACGAAATCTAAAAAAACCCCCCTACTGAAACTGGTGTTTCAGTGATTTTACGTACTCTGCTGTGTAGATTGAACTTAATCAATGGCGGGTGGTTTAGAAGGGACGTCGTTTGAGTTCACACCCACATGGGTTGTCGCCGCCCTTTGTACGGTCATCGTTGGAATTTCCATCGCTGTCGAACGTCTACTACATTACACCGGCGAGGTCTGTTTTTTGTTTTTCATGTGGATTGGAATCAACTAATTATATTTGTTCAATCATGGACCCCTGGCTTTGTGTGCAGAAACTGAAGAAGGCAGATCAAAAGCCCCTTTTTGAAGCCCTGCAAAAGATCAAAGAAGGTTTTTCTTGCTCTAGTTTTATATACCATATTCTTGATACCGATCCCCGTATATATATTTTTTTGTTTGAGCTACTTTGTTGAATCTTTGTTAATGTGGGTGGGTGCAGAGCTGATGCTGTTAGGGTTTATTTCGCTTCTGTTAACCGTGCTCCAGTCTAAAATCATCAAGATTTGTGTGAACAAGAGTATAGTCGACCGCTTTCTCCCATGCTCGTTGAGTGAAAGAGACAAGTTACAGGGTACATCTCATCTTCGTCATCTGCTTGCTGAAGAAACAACAGGCATGGGTTATTGTGCTCTAAAGGTAATAAATTTAGATCAATCTTTAATATCATTATTTGGTTTCATGAAAAATTTCTTTCTAGTTTATGACAGATGCATTTTGTTCCGTATATATTGAAGATTAGATGATTTCATGATCCATGCCATGCATGAACAATAAACATTTAATTTATAGCTTTTGCTTCTTTCACTTTCTATTTTAATATGTCAGGAAAAGGTCCCGCTACTATCTCTTGAGGCGTTGCATCATCTACACATCTTCATTTTTATTCTTGCTGTCGTTCACGTGACGTTTTCTGTCATCACCGTTATATTTGGAGAGGTGAAGGTTAGTACATAGATGGTTCAATAACAAGTTCATTTGTACACAATAGATTTTTGTCATACATAACAAATAACAATTAGAGGGCTTGTACAATTAAATTCCCTACAAAAAAGATGATTGTAATTTGTACATATCAGTTTTTTTTTTGTCATAAGACAATTAAGCTGCACAAGCCCTCTAGTTGTTATCCATGACAAAATCTGTTGTGTGCGATTTGGCTCCTTTCAATCAATGTTTTAATTTTTTGCTTGTAACATACATGATTCTTCAATTCATTATAATGGAGTAGATGCGAGAATGGGAGCGTTGGGAAGAATCCATCACAGAAGATGATTTTGATACCCTACAAGGTAAGGGTTAACTATGACGTGTCATAAATTATTAATGGTTGAAACGGTCTACTTTGATATAGATTTTTTTTGTCGAATATAGCAGATGTTAATCGCTTAAAGAACGCATGTTTTTAATGAACTTCATGATTTGAGTGTCTTCCTGTCGGGAGATCTAAAAGGGTAACATGTTAGGGATATAAAATATCGGATTGTTACATGTCTATTTATCATTCTATCTGTCGACCAAACCTACTTTTAGTTTTCTATTTCCATATAAAAAGACATCCACACAGGTTTAATTTGACTGATACATGCATAGTTTAATATATCTAATTAAAATAACTTCATAAAGAAATCTCTAGCTATAGTGAATTAGTGATCCAAAAGTCAGTACCATTAATTTATTTGAGATAATTACAAAATGGATATCTTTAAGTTACATTCAAGCCTGGTCAAACATACTTAAACAAACAAAGAAAAAAAAAGTTTTCGTTTTACCAAAAATCATATGCAAAGGGCCACTCGATTTGATTTTAATCTAATAAAATATTAGCATTAATATTTGAAGTCGACTAATAAGTAATAACCAAATATTCTAACAAACTAGATTATTACAAATTATCATCAAATAGGAAGTAGATTTATATATAAATAAATCCTAACTATTTGGAGTTAAATCTTGAAAAAAAAAAAAAGAAAAAAAAAATCCTGGCCCCGCATAGGAGCAATCTATCACCGACTACACCTTCACCCTTCGATTCCCTTTTCCTTTTAAAATTTTGATAGTCTTGCACAAGACTATTTTTCCGATGAGGGAATATATAATGCTAACATGTTAAGACAACGTGCCAGAAACATTGATTGTATGCATTGGTTGGGGACAAACTTCCCTAATGTATGACAACATGGATGTGCTTCGAGCCAGAAATGACCCGAACCAGATCAGGTCCGAATAATCTAAAGTAGATGAAAAGTTGGAACCGAAACCCAGACCGATCGATTATCCTAATACGAGACCGGTTCGGTTCAGGTAATACGGGTTTTGGTTCGGTTATTAACCTGAAAAGACCGAAATAATATATACACTATGTTTTTGAATCAAAATGATCCGAATAACTCAAATAAACTGAAATGACCTGAATAATCCAAATAAAACGAGATAAAGAATGAAATTCGATTTCATGAAAGTAGAGTGGAGTTCGATTTCACAGTAGATGTTTTCTTTGTGGCCGATCACAGTAGGAAGCAAGGAGTAGGAGAAGCCGAGAAGTTTTTTTTTTTTTTTTTTTTTTTTTTTTTTTTTTTTTTTGTGGCAAGGGTGATGAAGTTCAATCAATCCAACTAAGAAGCAACGATGAATCAATCAATCAAATTAGGTATCGATTATGGACTGCTAGAGCGGCGATGAAGTTAATTTTTTTTTTTTGAAAATTCGATCAGTATTGGGTAGCTAGGGATGTGAAACTTCGATCGACAATACACAAGAGCCAATAAGGATCGATCAAGTGACTATTCAATTTTCGGATCGTCCTTTTGGCCCGATTAAACCTTTATTCAGGTAACCGATAACAAATAACCCGAAAACTTAATTGGGCTAAAATAGATACCCGAGAACCGACCCAAATAACTTATTCAGTCCAAATTCGGGTCGTTTGGTCCGAGTTTCGATTTTCGGTTCGGATACTTGGTCCAAATGCACATCCTTACATGACTATGTCAATAAATCCAATGTGATCACGAACACCCACCAATAATTCTATAAGAATGCATTCTTTGGTATTGTCAATTCAAATAATGTTATCAATGTTCTTGACTAATCGTCGATAATCAACTACATTTTACAAAGAATAACATTCAATTGAAGTTAATAGAGTACGAGACAAACACGTGTTATTGAGCTAATGGATATACTCTAAGTGGGCTACATTTGTCAATTCACATATCAATAAGATGATAAACTAATAAAGTTTAAAGTGACACAAAGATTTGTAAGAAATGATGTGGAATGAACGTTTGGTGTCCTTAGGCGATGTTGACAGAGCGAAAAATCCATCACGAACATTGTCTTCAAAAATAATAATATAAGAAACATAATATATATATATATAAAATAAAAATAATAAAAAAGAGTTAATAAACATAACTGATAAAAAAAATAGATATAGCCTATAGACTAACTACTTATACCACAATAGATTAATATTTTATTTAAAGTACACTAAATTATAGTTTGGTCATCGTGGTTTGTTTACATCTAATCCAAATTTAAAACATCGAAGATGATGCTGACGTCAAAAGATGAAATAAATATAAGATAATAAGATATGGCCTAATCATTTTTTATTTAAAATAGGAATTTCCTAATATCTACCTTAAAGAAACATATACAAAATATTAGAGTAAATGATACGAATCGTCCCTATGGTTTGAGGTAATTTATACGTTTGGTCCCTAACTTATATTTTTAACTCGGAAGGTCCCTACTATTTATTTTTGTCACGTGATTGGTCCCTACTATTTGTTTTTGTTACGTGTTTGGTCCCTGCCTTACTAAAAAAAACTATTATTTAAATAAAGAAAAATAATGGGGTAGGTAAAGTAAAGTGAGGGGGATGAAGTTGAGGGTGTGGTTATTTAAATAAATAAAAAAATCAATGGCAAAATAGTCTTTTTATGTAAGATAGAGACCAAACATGTGACAAAAACAAACAATAGGGACCTTCCAAGTTAAAAAAATAAGTTAGGGACCAAACGTGCAAATTACCCCAAACCATAGGAACCATTCGTGTAATTTACTTAAAATATTATTTATGAAAAATATATTCACCATAATTAAATATTAAATTTATTGAGAATACTCTTCATTGAAAATATAAAATGTATTAACAATTTTTTCTATAATTAATACATTTGAAATTTACATTTAGTTATTTAATTAATATATCTCATAATTAATATTTTCCATATGTGCATTTAGTTTTTAAAAGACATATGTTTGATCTTCAGGATTGTTATCATCAATGGATTTCTATTAAATACTTGTAAAATGATTAGATTCCCTTCAACCCAATTGAAAAAACTACAGACTAAAAAGGTTAAATTTGTAACCTAATCATATTTATATCCAAATTTAAAAATAAATAAATAAATAAATAACTACAGAGTTCATTCCATCAACTCGTCCTTGTTAACTTCTTTTTTTCATCTCTTGTTTGAGTTGTTTTTGAAAATAATTTATTGATTTGTTGGTTTTTTGAAAAGTCGATAATTTTTTTTTTTTTTTACAAACTTAAATATATTTTTTAGAATATGTTTTTCATTAGCTTTAAAAAATAGATTTTAAAAAACATGTGAAATTTGCCTTTTAAAAATTGTTGGCTTTTTAAGGCCGAAGAGTATGTAGTGGGAAGAAGTGTGCGGGAGTCCAAACTACGGCCGAAACACTACACCACCACCACAGTTTAGACGTGCAGGTAAGGGTGAGAGGAGGCTACCCTATAATTTCTCTCTTCGTGTGATTGGTCAATATTTTTTATTGTTTTTTTTTAATTTAAATTATATAAAATTATAAAAAAATATAAAATTCATAGTTTTTAATTCCCTACAAAACCAATATAACATTTATATAAAATATATTAAAAAAATAATAATAAGTTAAAAGATAGTGAAATGTGATTATTTTAAGTTTTTTGATGGGTGAAAAGTGAACGAGTAAATAGAAAACTTACGTGAAAATGAAAAACAGAATGGTCGGTTTAACCAAAATAGCTTTTAAAAAATTATTTTAAACGAAACAACTTATTACCAAAAAAACAAATCCAAACATTTTTTTAACTATTTTTTTTACCAGAATAAACAATTTGTTAAAAGAACAGTTCCTTGGCTCTTGCCGGAAAATCACCAAGCGAGATTGAATTAACCGCTTCATCTTCCCCAGCCACCATGTCTTAAACACCACCAGAATTCGACGTTGCAGAAGGAATTAAGCACGACTGCATCTTCGTCCCCTTTCTATTTAAATCACTTCAAAATTCCAAAAGCACATTATCTGTGTTGTGTTCTCTCTATTCGATTTTGCTGCAGAAAACTGTTGCTAACAGAGCATTTATCTTTTCTGATTGATCGTCCGTTTTGCCGTTCCCAAAGAGTTAGGTGGTGCCAAAGAAAGAAGTTTTCCTGATCCACTATGGAATTTTAGGGTTCCCGATTGATCATCACATTTATGGAACACCACTTTTAGGGTTCTTGAATTGCTCCTCAAATTTATTTGTGTGTAAAAATCTAATTTGATCATCAAGATTTTTTGGGTTCTTTATTGATCCACAGAAGGGATTATGGATTGGTGGTGGGTCCATGTTAAAATGTTAAATGTCAAGAGCATAATAAGAAATAAGAAATAGTATAAATTTTTTATTGAGGGTAATATGATCATTTACAGAGAATGCTTAAAGGTAACATCCTCAGAGAGCAGAGACAACTTTCGGGAATCATGAGTTTATATATTCACATCAAATTTTAAAAAATTAGACTAAAATTATAGAGAGTAATTTGAACTATTTAAGTTTTATATATTCACACACTACACACATTGTTATGAGTTTATGCCCTAAACTTATAATCACGATGCTTTACAGTTTTGCAGCGGAAAGTGAGCTTTGTTGAAGAGGCTGATGATTTCTTCAAGAACAGATTCTTGGGTATTGGAGGAAGCTCAGCCATTCGAGGCTGGCTGGTAAGTAGCGTCATTGATTATATAAGTAAAAAATAATCATATATAGCTGTGAAGATTAAGTGCTTAACCTATTAAGCCTGTTAAGTAAAAAAGAAATAGTTAAGTTTTTATGTTCCGATTAAGTCAAAAGGAAACATACATGTATAGCTCTAGAAAAGAAGATGTTATCCATACAACATTTTATGCAGACATCGTTACCCCAATAGAACTAAATGGGAAAAAAATCGATGAATTGCTAGATTTGTTTGTTGTTGTTGTTGTTGTTTTTTTCTGACTTTTATTCTTTGAGAACATTACAGCATTCTTTCTTCAAGCAATTTTACTGGTCTGTGACCAAGTCAGATTATGTGGCACTGCGTTTGGGATTTATTACAGTAAGGATCTAACTCAAAGAGAGGTGATAAAAATTGATTCATCCACATAAAATATATGTTTCATTGACTTGTAGGATGTTTTGTCTTATGTGGATGAATGAATTTGTTAAGTGGAAGAATGAGGTCGTATTATTTGTAATACTTGTGTATTATATCCCTTTGTTTGATAGAATCATTGCAAGGGGGTCCCGAAGTTCAATTTTCACAAGTACATGATACGTGCCCTGGAAGATGATTTTCAAGAAGCCCTTGGGATCAGGCAAGTGGTTTCTTTATTTCTAAAAACATTTTTGGTCTATTTTTACATAGATGAGTTTTAATTTCTAATTTTGTTGTTTGTAGCTGGTATCTGTGGTTATTCGTGGTCATATTCTTGTTGATGAACATTAATGGTATGTAATTACATTATTACTCACTGAGCATTCGTCAAAAACTCAAAATCTTTCCTTGTGTTTGATTAGTTAATTTAATTTCTTACTTACTAAGCACCATAAAATACTTTTAACGTTTTTTGACTCTTGGGTTTTTTCGCAGGTTGGCATACATATTTTTGGATAGCTTTCGTCCCATTCATTGTAAGTAGTCCCCATAAGTTAGAAAGTCAATTTGAGTTGAAATGAGTTAAAAAAAAATGTTTTTGTAAAATTTTCAGCTTCTACTTGCTGTGGGAACAAAGCTGGAGCACATAATTATTCAGTTGGCTTATGAGGTTTCTGAGAAACATATAGCCGAAGAAGGCCACAAAGTGTTGATAGAACCCAAGGATGATCACTTTTGGTTTAACCAGCCAAGAATCCTCCTTTTCTTAATGCATTTCATCCTCTTTCAAAATTCGTTTGAGATTGCATTCCTCTTCTGGATATGGGTATGTATGTATGTATGTATGTATGTATGTATGTATGCATGTATGTTTCTCTTTTCTGGAAACACATAAAAAAAATTGGCATCTCATGCTTTACATTTATGTAATAGCTTCAATTTGGCTTTGACTCTTGCATAATGGGGAAACTGCGCTACATTATCCCGCGACTCATCATTGGGTAAACTACTTATACTGCTAAAACAACATAAACCATTTACTAAAAAATATCATATCATTTTATTTCAGGGTATTCATTCAGGTTTTGTGCAGTTATAGCACTCTACCACTTTACGCCCTACTGACACAGGTATGTTATTATTGTACATGTTTGAATATCTAAATTTGTATTCTTCAATGATGATGATGATGATGATGATAGATGGGAACTAATTTCAAGTCAGCAATATTTGCGGAGCATATAAAACCACTACTCATGGGTTGGGCTAAAGATGCCAAGAAAAGGGTGGCACATAGCGGGGGAATCAGTGGCTCAGCTTCAGCTGATCATGCCTGTTAACTCAACCACAACTCCTTAATAGTAATATTATGTCAGTGTTTATAAAAAGCTACAATAAATTACTTTTGTGTAAATTGCAATAAACTTTAAAAACAAGTTAGCTTATGAAAAGCCCGTATAGTATAGGGTTTATGTCGTAAAGTACCAGTAAAGTTGTACCTATTTACCCGTTTGACCACTCAGGTTCTTCAAGACACGAGTTTGCAACTTAACTTGATGTTTTGTATTTAGTTTCCATTGTAATATATGCTACAGCTGGTAAAACAGGGTTTGATACTTCTGTGGTGTACACGTAGGCAAAATAAGGTAAACATCAAAAGCAACAACACGAACAAGATGAAGAACCCATGAAAGAAAATGAAGAATCCCATCTCTATAAAACCCATAAAAAAAGGTGAAGAACCATGATATGTAATTATTTGTTTTAATCTTCATGACACAAACCATGATTAATCATTTGCATCACCATATGATCATGACATAAACCAACTGAATATGATGAAGTCTAGTTCCAAATCAAATCTCATTTAACAATCGCTATTAGATCATTGGTTGTGAGATCTTAGGTTGAGATAATTTGTAGGTCTTCTTCCATATGTATTGAAACACCTATTTTTTTTATTTTAATTAGTTTAAATCTTTTCAAAAGTCTTTAATCAATTTAAAAATGTCATTTACGGAAATAAGGTCTCATACTCATAGTTCTCAAAAGAGTACCCGTTTTAGAAGTACTTTAGAGGAGAGTTAACCAATCAAAACATCAAAACAATAGTTTAAGACTTTAAGTAACCACATAACAATGTGTCCTAAAATCCAAATCGTCCTCCAAGTCTTCATTTGCTTCTATCACTTGAATACATGTCAAAGAAATTGATATTATCCTTTCACCAATGAGAAATCCCTAAAATCATTTGTAAAACTTTTAATAGAAAGTTGAGTCTTTAGTAATTTATGATTAGGAAAGTCTTTCACTCTTGGAAATCTTTAATCATCTATCATTAGTAAACCATAAGTCATTCTCAAATAAAAGTATAAATCATAAATCATCATTTAGTCATATCGAAATATCATCATTTTAGTTGTAATAAAAATATCATTATTTTAGTCCTAACCATAGTAACAGTATAGTCATAAAAAAGTGTAGATACAATACAATGTGCTTGTAACCCTTTCCTAAGTTAATCCCATAATTCAACCTCACAAGTCATAAATTGATAAGACGAGTCGGTATGGGCCTCGACGAGAAGCGACGAGACCCACGTGGCACTCCGCGACGCCGTTGTAACGCGGTGAACACCGCCCCCCCCCCCTAGCCGTTGCTTCTCGTCGCCCGGAACTCGTTGCGTTGGAAACGAGTTGTAACGTAGAAATATCCGTGCTATTTTTTTTACCGTTATTAAACGGTCCATTTCAAAAAAAAAAAAAAAAAAACCTTTTTACCATTTATATATATACATACACTTTATTTTAATTTTTATATACCTTTCTCTCATTCTCTCTATATCTTTATACACACTTTCTCTCATTCTCTCTATATCTATATCTTTAATTCAAAAAATGGAGCAAAACCCAAACACCCCCCCTCCATCATCAAACCCAAACACAACCTCACCTCTCGGATTTGCGGGGTACGAAAATTATTTTAACCTTTTGTCGTCTCAAGGTTCACCACAAATACCATACCAAGGTGCCGCTTTCAATCCCGTTTCACCGCCACTACAAATTCCCAACTCACCTTACGTTCAACAAAATCAATTTGGTCAACACCCAAATTTACAACAAAATCTTTTCTCTACTTTTGGTTCGATGCAACAAACAACAAATCAACCGTCGCCTACAACACAACCAACAGTTCAAGTGGAAGCGGGAAGTAGTAGGAAAGGGAAAGGGAAAGGAAAATCAAAAGGGAAATCAATAGCGGTGGAATCTGAAAATGCAGACGTTCCACAATGGTGGACACCGGAGGAGGAATACGCTTTGACGAAGGCTTGGTGTGCTACTTCAAAGGACGAACTTCGTGGAAATGGAATGAAAAAAGGAGCTTATTGGGGGGCGGTGCTCGACAAGTTTCACGCTATTTTAAAGAAAAATCTGTATCGCAACAACGACATGTTGAGCAGCAAATGGGGTATGATAAGTAAGCGGTGCAGCAAATTCAACGGTATTTACAACCGGATTGCGGCGCAACAACAAAGTGGAACCAACGACTTTGATTTGTTCAAAGCTGCGAAGGAACAATATCGGGTCGAAATGGGTCATGTTTTCGACTTTGAAAAATCATGGGAATTGTTGCGAGCGGATCCAAAGTGGAATAAAACGCCTACATCGTCGGAGGTTCAATCCAAAAGGTCTCGCAATTCTAGTTCGGTCGACGTGTCGGACGCACGGACTAACATCGACCTAAACGTCGATGACGATGAGATCCAGGATGATATCCAAGAGATATCCCCACCACGACGACCGCCCGGACGCGACAAAGCGAGGCGTGCTGCAAGACATGCGGAGGAGGTGGAGACGAGAGCAAAAGATGCGGCGGAAATGAGAGCGAAATTCGACGAACATAATTTGTTAATAAAAGAAAAAAAATGAGTTGAAACATCGTCATTTGGAATTTCTGGAAAGGCAGGCACGGGAGAAGCAGGAGCAAAAAGAGAGGGAATTAATGACACAACAGTTGTCAATTCTCCGGACAAGCGAGGAGGGTTTAGCACCTGCTGATCTAGCGGTGCTACAAGCAATGAAGGAACAAATTAGGAAAAAATATTTGGGTTGATTAGGATTTGTGTGTGGTATTTAGTAGTGATTTCAATGTTATTTTAGTTATTACTTTAGGTTTAAAACTATGTTTTTTTAATTGTAATCGGATTTTAGATTTGTTTTTAAAATTATATGTTTTATAAAAAAAATATTAGTTATTAAACAAACGCAAAAGGAAAAAAAAACAAAAAAAACGAAATAGTAAAAAAAAAATACAAAAATAAAAATATTTATTTTCAAAATATTGGTGTTACATCTTGTTGCTTCTTGTTACCCATTTCCCCACTTGGTGTTATAACACCACTTGCTTATGTGGCATGTGAGGTGGTATTGCACCTTGTTGCCCACACCCAATGCTCTAAAATAAGAAGTGTCTCACATAGTCATCGTGAGAGAGTATCCAAACAAAGAAGGTATGGTTGTCTAACGGTGCAAGAAACCCTTAAGTCATAGCTAGGATAATATGCACACTCACAAAATTTAAATATAAGGTAGTTACCATTACATGCAAGCGAGGCATTGTACCTGTACTCTCCAACATATTAAGATATTGTACTTTGAAATAGAATCATTTCTAGTAATTTAGTTTAGTTATAGCCTTATACCATTAAACTATTACAAAAATTTAATTTTTTTAGATAATCAAAACGTTGTACCTTGAAACATTAGACTTGTTTGTTTTATGTTACCTTTTCTACTATTAACAAATTATATTATTAACTTGTTTTTGTAATTTCAAAATCTAACCAATCGTGGTGTTATACATTTATACTTCATTTAATGAATTAAACTTTAGAATTTTTAAGGTATTAAGATGTTCTACTTTAATTTTTTTCCATTGCAATGCATTTTGAAAATCTAACCAATTATAACATCACACTTTCAAAATTGAACCTATTAGTATATTAAGATATTTTACTTGCATTTTCCCTTAAGATATTGTACTATTAAAATAAAAACCTTTTTGATATGTTACAAATTGCTGCATTATGCATTTTATTTTTTAGATCAAGACATTGTAGTTTAAAGTTTTTTTTTCTATTTAAAAATTTTATAATTAAATTCTTACCAATTATTAGACTGTAGTTGCACTTATAGTGCAACACTTTTAATTATTCTTTCCATTTTAACATTTTCCTTTCAAAGTCCAACCTATTAAAACATCATTGTACTTCTGTTTTTGTTCTATTTATCTTGAATTTAGTTTTGATTACCAATAGATGCATTATACTTTTATTTTTTCCTATTATTACACTGTAGTTGCACTTATAGTGCAACACTTTTAATTATTCTTTCCATTTTAACATTTTCCTTTCAAAGTCCAACCTACATTGTACTTCTGTTTTTGTTCTATTTATCTTGAATTTAGTTTTGATTACCAATAGTTGCATTATACTTTCATTTTTTCCTATTAAGATATTGTAATTACAGTTACTTTTTGTTGTTGTGCTTTGAAAATCTTAACTTGTTTTTACGGTTGGTTACCAAACTATAAATTTATACTTCTAATTTTTTTGCAATTAGGATATTATATTCTTAGATATTTTTCTATTTATCCGTGTAGTAGTAACAGGTAACTATATATAACATTATACTTTAGAAATCTAACTTATAAAAAGATTGTACCTTCCAATTTCTTGTCATATTGAGAATATGAAAAAAAAAATTGAAAGATACAATCTTTTTTATATTTTAGAAATCTAACTATATAACATTATACTTTTGAAAAGGTAACTATTTATAATATTACACTTTGAAAATATAACATATTTAGGCATTAAAACCCAACATGTTTGATTATAACATTATAGTATCAATATATAACCTATCAAGACATTGTAGATTTAATTATTTTCTTATAATGTTTTGAAAATCTAAACAATAATTAAAACATCCCAAAAACATGGTTCAAAATTTTCATTTTTAATTTATAAATAAAACCACAGTAAACCAAATCATCTTATAAAAACATAAGTGATAGTATCTCAAAACATTATATCAAAATCACATGTCCAAACATCAGAGTAAATCATCCCAGGCTAAACGATGTGATGTGTGCAATGCAGTCATCCCGAGCTCTTCCCCTTACTAGCGGAAGTACCTGAAACCAAATCTGAAAACTGTAAGCACGAGGCTTATTGAGTCTCCCCAAACTACCACATACTATGCACATATCACATAATCACATATCAACATATAATGCGCCTCGCCCTGCTACATCGGGCCCCGCCCGATATCGGCGTTGCCCGGTATCGAGCAAAGCTCGATATACGTATGAGCATATATACTAGTACACATAAACATAAGCATAATCACCTAATCATAGACATATAAACATTCCTTGGGCCCCGATCGACATCGAACTGAGATCTGGAAAGCATACAAATATTCCTCGGGAACCACCCCGACATCAGACCGTAGTCCGGAAACATACAGAAACAAACACATGCAAGAATCACAAAGACATCAAGCATACAAACATTCATCAGGTACCGCCCCGACATTGAGTCGAAACCCAGAAAACATATAAACCTACATCGGGCCCCGCCCGACATCAGACCTTAGTCCAGAACATACTAACATACATACACGAGCCGACATTGGTGCCTTCGACCTGTTCCTACAGGACAAAACTCACATCGAATGTCAGGTGAAATAGCTGAACGTCTCTGCTCTTACAACCGGCTCTACTCATTCCCTATACATAAATAACCCCTTAGATTCCATTCTATACACAAGACCCCTTCACGGGTCAACCTTGATCAAAGTCAAGGTCAAGGTCAAAGTCAACATCTATTCAAAGTCAAAGTTAACA